AGCTACAATGGAACGGTTTAGATCAAAGCATATTCATGTGTTAGAATGGATCAGTCAATGTCCAGACCTAAATCCAATTGAGAATCTGTGGCAGGACTTGAAAATTGCTGTCCACAGATGCTCTCCATCCAGTCTGACAGAGCTTGAGCTATTTTCAAACAAGAATGGTCAAAAATTCCACTCTCTAGATGTGCAAAGGTGGTAGAGACATCCCCAAAAAGAATTTCAGCTGTAATTGCAGCGAAAGGTGGTTCTACAATGTATTGACTCAGGGGGGCTGAATACAAATGCACGCTGCACTTTTCACATATTTATTTGTAAAATAATTTGAAAACCATTTATCATTTTCCTTCCACTTCACAATTATGTGCCACTTTGTGTTGGTCTATCACATAAAATTCCAGTAATATACATTTACATTTTTGATCATAACATGACAAAATGTGGAACATTTCAAGGGGTGTGAATACTTTTTTCAAGGCACTGTACCTGAGCACCACCGTGAAACATGGTGGTGGCAGCATCATGTTGTGGGGATGCTTTTCTTCAGCAGGGATGGGGAAGCTGGTCAGAGTTGATGGGAAGATGGATGGAGCCAAATACAGGACAATCTTAGAAGAAAACCTGTTAGTCTGCAAAAGACACTCCTGTCTTTTGCAGACACTCCTGTCCACAGAAACTCCTGTGCTTGCTTTCCTCATAGACTGGACTGCTTTATCAGGATTCTGAATAGCATATGACATTAGTGCTGGTAGCCATTGTTGTATAAGCAAATTTTTACACTGAATAATAGCTGGGTCTTTGGAAACAGAATGAGATGTGCTCCTGCTCTCAGTGCACGTGTGCGGAAATACACTTGTACAATGTTTGTAAAAAGCCCCACAAAATCCTACAATCACTAGGTGTTCACTCAATTCTAGTCTTTTGGGCCCACCAAATGTGTGGTCTAGTCAGTGCTGGGTATGGTGCTAAATCAATTAGTTACCCCTATAAAGGATACAAGGGAGCAAGTAGAAAATCTAGGTAGAAGGGTGGCCTGGTGAAGAACGTGTTAAGCAAAGCATTCATTAGTCTTGAGTAGATGAATGAGCACCTGTGTGAATGGAGGAAGCATTGCGTGTGACCACAGAACAGCTGTAGAGAGCAGGTGCAGCTGGAGTAACCTGTCTAACAGCTTGTTATCCTTCATTCATGTATGGTGCTAAGTGTCAACAAAGTTCAGAACACTCAAGGAAGTCTATTCAGTACTTAGCCACTTTCAACACATTGTGATCACAGGACTTCTGTCTGTAGCATGTACTGATTGTGCATGGGTTGGTTCTAGTTTGCAGCTTACACTTCAAGCATTTCTTACAAAATCTCTCAATTTCCATGAATATGTTAAATCTGTTGATGGTCAACCACCTTTTGTAGTTTGAGTGGTCTAATGTTTCTCAGCAAATAAATCCATGATTGGTCTATTAGCTGGCCATACCCCATTATAATTTTTTGGAATTCAGAAATCTTATTCATCATAGTATTTGACAGTACCATTTTTGACTCAACAAAGTTTTTTGTATGAACACCTTGAAAGATTTTGTTTGATTACCCTACCATTGCTTGAGAGTCTATTCAATATCAATTTTGGGCCGCACATATGTATTAGGAGAAGTGTTTGTTTTTTTTTTTTCCTGAACAATACCACATTCACATTTTTGAGAAACATTTTTCATTCTCCTCATTGTGATTTTTTTTTTTTTTTTTTTTTTTTTTTTAACCTCCTTACCCCTGCCTAAAATGTTTGACCCCATGAGTGTTCTAAAAATTAATTTTTTTGATCCCTCTTCTACAAAGGAATGGCCTGCTTTAGCTAATATTACTTGCGTTACCTACACAACATGCTCTTTGCTGACTGTCTAAATTTATTTTACAAAGAAATACTGAACATCAAAACACTAAGCACTTATTTGCAGTTTCTAGTGACGGAACAATGTCAGGAGCTCCCAACTGTATTCAGGTTGCTGCTGTATGTTTGGAGATGTCAGAAAAAGGTGACAAAGACAGTTGCTGCTGCTCTCTTGACTATGCCAAAGTATCAAAAGAATAAAAACTCTACAGTTCACTTTGCTGTACTAGAATGTAAGCTAGCTTCAGAAATGTTTTATGTAAAGACTCCCTTAAAGCTTCTGTAGTGTGGGGTAATTTCAGGGTAGATGTCAGACAGCTGGAATCATCGATGGCCACTTCTCTATGACAGGGTTGAACCAGCCAGGTGTGTTCACACCAAATGCACTGGTATGCATTGATCAATGCATGTCCGTGCATACACATTGTAAAAGCAATGTATTTCAAGGGGCAGTTCACACCAGTGTGCTGTGCTGATGGGCATTGCACTGCTCTGAAAAAACAAATGGAACAGTCCCTTTTTTGTTTTCAGTACAATGCAGTGTACGTAAACGCAAGCAAATGCACATGAACCCAACAATGAAAACTGACCATTTAAAGTGTTACTAAACCCAGGACCCTAGGTTCACTTTATTTGGTCTCCCTGAAATACAGACTACAGGAAAATGCAATTATTTTAGTAGATATAAACTGCTAAATACCTTTTTCTCATCAGCAGTTAGAGAAGTCTTGTGACTTCTATCAGTGTTCAACAGAGCACTGGTTAAAGCTTGTAGGAGGAGCTTTCTTTCTGCTCTAGGAGGATGTAGAACCCCTGACCTCTGTCTGGACAGTGCTGATTGGCCTTGTGTTGATCACATGCACACTCCCAAGAAAAAAAAAAACACCTCTCTAGCAATGCACACCAAACTGAGCATGTGCAGAGTGTCTCCACACGATATGTCTCATCAGGAGATAAGAGCGGGACACTGGATAAAGGGGAGGATTAGAGAAGTCAGGATCAAACGGCCTTTTTACACAATGCAGAGGATTAACGCCTCAAGTTCCACAGTGTATATATCAAGCATGCTTTATTGCATGTACAGGCTGATTTTACTGTTGTGGGTTTAGAAACGCTGTAAGATTCTTTTACAAATAAAGTGAAGTTGAAGAAAAAGTATTCCAGATCAACACAGCGCGTGTTCAAGCTCAATGCAGCATGTCATTGAACATTTACATGAACTCGATACATACATTTCAATGTGAATGGAACCTTAAAAGAGAAGCATGGGAATTTTTTTTTTTTTTTCAAATCCTACCTAGGTGAATGCAGCATCAGATCAATGCTGCACCTGTCTCCCTCCGGCCCTAAGGGTGAAAACTCAGCGATCGCATGATTGTTGATTGCTGAGTTCTGACCGCCACTGTGAGCAGAGAGCGTTGACTGTCAGTCATCACTGTCTGCTCTGCTTCAGCCTGATGTCAGCTGAAAACGGGTCACAGGAGTACAAAATGAACTGCACTCCTGTGATCCATAGGAGAAGTACAGCCAGAAGAGCTTTAAGTACACATTAAGTTTCTGTTCAAGTATTGATATAGTATTGATTTATGTCAAAATATATTATGCTAGCAGGTACAGAAGGTCAAGAGAGGTAGGGTGAAGTTTTGGCTGATCTTCAGGTACATAATCTGAGAGGGAGATACGGTGATGCCAGAAGTTGCCAGCGGCCTCTTTGAGGTGAAAAGCTTGGCCCCTTGCCTTGGCTTTCATGCCAGTTCTTAATCACAGCTTACAGGCTTTCGTGCGATGGAACAAGAGACTCTGGACTTCATGCAACTGGTGTGGCACTTGTTATGGATTGTCTGTACTATGCCACTCTATGGAATAGCGCAGGTGGACAGGTGGTGTGCCATTTCAGTAAGTTGCACTCTCTGTGGTCAAAAGTCATTTGTGTTGCTCTTAGGAAAAATATATGCCATTTTTAGAGGAGACTACAAAATATATTTACATGTTAAATGCTGCTTCAAGTGTATCTATAGCCAACCCAATTTATTTGAATAGAGTAGGAAATGGTTAAAACCCATCAGATTTATGTTTATTTTTTGCCATCCGTGCCCCTGTCTTGAGATTTCCTATCCTGTGCACAAAACAGGAAGTTAGAATGTTTCCATAATGAGGGAAATGCTCTCTTTAGTCTGTTATCAGAACACGTGTCCTCTTTGGAAGATTTCCCCTTTGCTGCTCTTCTGGTTACAAATCAAAATTTTGGATTTTCCCTAATTTTTAATCTCAGGGTCAAAGGTCACCAGGACAAATTAAAAAGGTGAATCTCCCTAACGCAGATACATAAAACAATGAAAACCTGATTAGGGTTCTACCTACTCTATACAAAACTGCCTATTAGTTGGTTTAAATAAGTACTCCAGAATAGGCAAACAAATCACCCATTAGTACATTCCCCTAGACAAAACACTAAAAAGGTAATAATTTAATTAAAGTCTAATTGAATTTTCATGACCTAATCTCAGCAATTCAAAAAATAACAGCATCTGCTCTTCCAAGCAGGAGGTGTAACAGCAGAGATTACATCATATTCTCTCTTCTCTATCTGCTGTAAAAGGAAACTACAGTTCCCATCAACCACAGGGAATTGTATGGAATGTGGGTGGGTATACTAGACCTGTAAATGTTGAATGTGTCTGGTAGTCTTGGTCTGCCCACCACTGCAAGTGGGGCTGAACTACATCACTGCTTCATGGAGAGAGAGCTACAGAAGGGATGTGTCAAGACCAGTGGCTGGGAGAATAGAAAGCATAGCAGCCACCGGTCTTTCAAACGGGAAACCAAAGAGAATAAAACGTTTGATCTGAAAATGAATAGGCTATTTCAGAGCAACTACTGAGTAAACAGAAGATGGATGACCTATGCAAGTGAAGGTAGAAATTCGGCAACAAGGATAGAGGTTTTTGCCTGGAGTTCTGCATTAAATATGTATTGTTTAAATATTGTATGTATGATCAACCTCTAGACTGTTAATGTTTTTTTTTGGTTTTAAGTTCAGCTTTTTTGGGGGGAAAAAATGAGTACTACACATTTGTCTTCCATTCTTCTTGGCAACTTTCATGTCTGTCCTGCAGATTCGGTCTGGTGGTACCCAGTGTCTCCTATAGCCTGCACAAGAAGCTGTTAAGTGTAGCTGAGAAGCATGGCCTAACCGTGGAGAAACGGTTGGAAATGTCGGGTGTTTGTGCCAGTCAAATGGCTCTTACATTGCTTGGTGGGCCCAACAGGTGAGCTGGGACATTAATTTACTCTCGCCCTCTCTCTATATGTGTGTGTTGGTGTGTATTATTTTTTTATTTATTTATATATACACAGGATCAATGCATTCAAACACAATAACAATGTTCTAGTCCTAAAAGACCATCCAAGCACCCTACCTTTTAATTGCAATAAGGGAAGTTCGCAGAGCTTTTTTTTTTTTTTTTTTTTTTTTTTTTTTTTTTTTCCCCTGACCTTTTCAAGTTAATGGGGCTGCATCACAATCGCCTTGCAACTGTGTGTGGTGTGGTGGTTTTGTATTGTGAGGGTTAAAACCGTAAACAGTGAGGAAGTGACCTATCACCTCCTCAAATGCCTGTCAAATGCCTCTGAAAAGTGATCCAAAGGCTGCCACACGTCTGAGCACTTAGACAGTCTATAGAGGTTCTGAGTGACAACATGTGAGAGGGTATCATCACCCTCACTGGGCTTACATTGCAGTGTTTGATATTGGGCTTTACATAGCCTTTAACTTAAAGCTAAGGTTTAAGTTATGTTAAAAAAAAACAAACATGTCATACCTATTCGGTGCAATGGTTTTGAACAGAGCCGCTGTGGTCCTCTTCTCAGGTTCCACGCTGGCACTCCTGGCTCCTCCTCCTTGAACAGTGCCCCCAATAGCAAGCTGCTTGCTATGGGGATACTAGTGTGTGCTAACTCCAGAGCAACGCTGTATGAGAGACTCTATATAAGACACATAGAGCCGTAACTCGGCCCCGTCTCTCATGCTCTTCTCATTGGCACGCTGGCTGTGATTGACAGCACTGGGAGCCAATTTCTCATGCTGCTGTGTCTCTGCCAGTGAGGGGAGCGAGACCCGGGACAGCCGAGGCTCCCATGTACATCGCTGAAGTGAGAGAGGGTTCAGGTGAGTACTGGGGGGCTGTGGGGTGAGCAGCACACAGAAGGTTTTTTGCCATCATGCATAGAATGCATGAAGGTAAAAAAAAACCTTCAGCCTTTACAAACACTCTAGGTATGTTTGTTTTTTTTTTTACTTTTGAGTCTGCTCTCACTTTTTTTTGCATAGTTACATTGGTTCAGCTTGGACCAATTTAAGTATGTATGTGCCATACCTTTTGTGATCCCAGTAGAAGCTGGAAATTACTGTAGCATGCACCACTACTACAATAATCGCTGCTAGCTTTTGCATCCTGTGCCAAGTGGCTGCCCTGCTACATGGTAAACAGGGAGTCGCTCACTTGCCACAGATGCCATTCTTTCTCTAAATAGACGAGGTGGAGATTGTGACATCGCTGCCTTTCCACCTCGTCCAATCAGAGAACCGTTTGCATTAATTGAGAAAGTGCAAAGGGTTCCCTGAATGGTGCCTAAGCCGCCCCTGAGTGACAGTGCAGAAGGACCGCCACACTGGAAACTAGCGGCAATCAGCAAAGGCTAAGAAGTAAGATACGATGAAGTGAGAGCAGACTATGAATTTCTGCTTTGAAAACCTGCATATGTTCTGATACTTTATAGTTGCTTTGCTTTCTTAGTTATCATAAGGCGGCAAGCAAGAAAGATGGGCAGCAGTTCGGAGAAAATATGTCTCACAGCTCTCAGTCCCATTATTGTCATTACTAGATCCAATAAAGCTCAGTTTATACCAGGCAAAAGCGCGTGCAAGAGAAGAGGATTGAAGCCAATTCTACAGACCGGCCTCATTTCCCACTGTTAAAGCGATACAAGCGTTCCTGGAATGTTCTTTTCACTCACTATGCAGATCTTCTGCTCTCCTGTCTTCCTGCTCTTGCACTGTTCCTGTAATACCAGTTCTTCAGAGGTCTCTAGAGTACAAACCAATTTAGCAAGGTCGTGCTTTGTAAGCCTTGCGTGTGTATAAACAAGCACAGATAAATTACTAGGTGTGGGTTGGTCTTCAGAGTGAATAAACCGGATATTATTGCTGCTGCATGAAACGCACCGAAATCTCCCAGGACTTAAGATTACAATGATCATTAACTGTCTCATAACATAAACACAAAAGTCATTGTCCCTATGAAATGCCTTCTCAGATGTATTACTTGTCTTTTTTATGTGCTTTAATACTGATATCCAAAGAGGAAACCTTGCCTAACAACATTATTATGTATAATTATTTAGGTTTACATCCTGTTAGATAGGGTTGAGCAAACTGTTTGTTTTTTTTTGGTCTTGTTCTCTACTGCCAGATCCTGTTGGTCATGAGTAAAAACATGCTTCTCTCCTGCACAACATAAAAGCTTGCTGGGAATTGGGTGCTCTCAGCAACATTTTAAATATACTGGTTGCTTGTGATCCTTGAGCCTTTTTCAGACTTTGCGCTTGTGTAATGTATCCTAATCACAATTTCATTTTTATACTTCTAGATTAAATCCTAAAAACATACACCAACGACCTACTGTGGCACTTCTGTGTGGGCCTCACATCAAAGGAGCTCAAGGCATTAGCTGTGGTCGTCATTTGGCCAATCATGATGTGGACATTATCCTTTTCTTACCAAACTTTGTTAAGATGTTGGAGCCTGTTACTAACGAACTTAATCTGTTTTGTCGGACTGAAGGCAAGCAGGTGTCAAATGTCAAAGGTGAATAATTTTACATGTATCAAGATATCAAACCTGTTTATTGTTTGAAGCACAGACATGCAAATGACTTCTATGAACAGATACATCTGGAAAGATATCGGTTATTTGGTGTAGTGGGGATAATTCTTGTCACACCAGGCATATGTACTCTCCCTGCCACTGTCTGCAGCATAAGGTGGTGGTGGTGGGGGGGGTGGGTGTTACACGCTTTAGTTTTTACCGCCCCCCCTCAAACACAAGTGTAAATGAGGCCTTACTCAGTTACTGACTTTATGCAACATTTGCAGTTAGCTACAGAATCACCAGCTTTTCTATCTAATCATGCTATCCAGTGCAGCTGCTGCAACTGATATCACACCAGCAATTTGTAGCTGCATGACGAATTGTTGTCAGCTACAGCAGCAACTTTGTAACCAGCTAGAAATCACCAGAGAAAATAGCCAGAAAAGTGCGTTCTTGCTATGAATTTGTTCTCCAAGGTTGCTACTCTAGCAAGCTTTTGGAGCTCATTCACATTCATGGCTGGGGAGTGTTAAAAATAGGCAGTTGAGCTACAGGTTTATACCCTTTCAGCATTTAACAGGAAGTACTGTTATGGCATAATGTTCTGTAAGGTTTTATTTTAATTAACCCCTTCACGCCGGTCGCACGCAAATGTGCAGCCTCCCGGCGTCTGGACCTAGATGCCGAGCGGCCGCACGTTTGCGTTCAATATACAAAATATATATATGTGCTGAGAGCGCGCGCTCCCAGCACACAAGTAAGGTACTCACCGAAAGGTCCCTGTCTCCTCTTGCGATCGGGACCTTTCCCGATCATGTGACCGGCCGTGACGTCACGGCGGCCACATGACACTAAGCTCCGCCCCGTCCCGCCCACCTCCTGGCACAGGAACTCCTCTTCACGCCGGGACGATCTGGCGTGAAGGGGTTAAAGCTGCAAAATATTGAAAATGACTGTTGAAATTACATTAGCAAGTTAAAGATATGTAAACCCAATCACTAAAATCTCATGAAAGTTTTAAAGTTTAGAGCAACTGACCTTCCTAACACAGCAGTGTTTTTTGTTTTTTTTGTTTTGTTTTTTAGGCCCTATTTGCTGCAGTCTTTTACATTGTAATATGGATTATATGGGCTGTGTAAACATATTAAACTATTTTATAGCTAAAACCACACTGGCATGACCTTGTTAAGCAATCACGTATGGAACACATGGTTTTTTGTTTGAAAGCAGATTTGTCTAGTCAAGCAGTGTATGTAGTGTCAAAATGATTGTTCGTTTTCAGTGTGTTGCGTTTATGTAATAATTTGTCTCTTTTTTTTTTTTTTTTTTTTTTTTTTTTTTTAGATCCTTTCACACCAAAAGCATTGGGCTGCAGAGGCCTTAGGCAATCTTACCCAATGCAACACATCTACAAAGTACAATTTAAAGTATAACTAAGCCTGGGTTTACACTGCATGTAATTTGCATAGGAATAGCACCACATAGCTGTGCGAATTACATGCAAATGTACAGTGCAGGAAATAAGTATTTGATCCCCTGCTGATTTTGAATGTTTGGCCACTCACAATTAACCTACCATTCAAATTTTAGACTGATCATTTCTTTGTAACACTGAGAGACAGAATAGCAACAAAGAATTCAAAACAAATGCATGTCTAACAAATTATGCACTGATTTGCATGTTCATGAGGGAAATAAGTATTTGATCCCCTTCACAAAACATGACTTAGTACTTAGTGGCAAATCCCTTGTTGGCAATCACAGAGGTCAGACATTTCCTGTAGTTGGCCACCAGGTTTGCACACATCTCAGGAGGGATTTTGGCCCACTCCTTTTGGCAGATCCTCTCCCAAGTTATTAAGGTTTGGTGGCTGACGTTTGGCAACTCAAACTTTCAGCTCCCTCCACAGATTTTCAATCAGATTAAGGTCTGGAGACTGGCTAGGCCACTCCAGGACCTTAATGTGCTTCTTCTTGAGCCACTCCTTTGTTGACTTGGCTGTGTGTTTTGGGTCATTGTCTTACTGGAACACCCATCCACGACCCATTTTCAATGCCCTGGCTAAGGGAAGAAGGTTCTCACCCAAGATTTGACGGTACATTGCCTCGTCCATCGTCCCTTTGATGCGGTGCAGTTGTTCTGTCCGCTTAGCAGAAAAACACTCCCAAAGCAGAATGTTTCCACCACGTTTGACAGTTGGGATGGTGTTCTTGGGGTCATAGGCAGCATTCCTCTTCCTCCAAACACGGCGAGTTGAATTTATGCCAAAGAGCTCGATTTTGGTCTCATCTGACCACAACACTTTCAACCAGTCCTCCTCTGCATCATTCAGATATTCAGTGGCAAACTTCAGACGGGCCTGGACATGTGCTTTCTTGAGAAGAGGGACCTTTGCAACACTGTAGGATTTCAATCCTTGTTGGTGTAGTGTGTTACCAAATGTTTTCTTGGTGACTGTGGTCCCAGCTGCCTGGAGATCATTGACAAGATCCTCACGTGTAGTTTTGGGATGATTCCTCACTGTTCTCACGATCATTGACACGCCACGAGGTGAGAACTTGCATGGTGCACCAGACCTAGGGAGACTGACAGTTGTTTTGTGTTTCTTCCATTTGTGAATGATTGCACCAACTGTTGTCACCTTCTCACCAAGCTGCTTGGCAATAGTTTGGTAGCCCAGTCCAGCCTTCTGTAGGTCTACAATCTTGTCCCTGACATCCCTGGACAGCTCTTTGGTCTTTGCCATAGTGGAGAGTTTGGAATCTGATTGTTTGATTGCTCTTGTGGACAGGTGTCTTTTATACAGGTAACAAAATGAGATTAGCAGCACTCCCTTTAAGAGACTGCTTCTAATCTCAGCTTGTTACCTGAAGGAAAGACACCTGGTAGCCAGAAATCCTGCTGAATGATAGGAGATCAAATACTTTTTTCCCTTTTATGAACATCCAAATCCGTGTATAATTTGTTAGATATGCATTTCTTTAGAATTTGTTATTGCTATTCTGTCTCTTTGTTACAATACACCTACCATTCGATTTTTAGACTGATCATTTCTTTGTGAGTGGGCAAACATTCAAAATCAGTAAGGGATCAAATACTTATTTCCTTCATTGTATATGCGGTGCGATGTGAGCCATACATTTTGTATGGCTTACATCACATCGCATCCGCACCAAAAAGGTGCAGCACCCTTTTTTTTTTAAATCCGCACCTGAATCGCATCGCATGGGTGTTCTCACCCATGCAACTCTGGCAATCACATTGCGTTTTGTGATCTGCTTCGGGGTGTCATTCAATTATCTTGACACCTGCACCAGACTGCATGAACGCAGTGCGATTGCAATGCAGTGCGGGAAATGCACAGGATTTGCCGCATTTCCCGCACCTCATTGGTGTGAACCTGGGTTCAAGAAAAACCTTTTTAGTTTTGGATAGGGTACAAAGGGATTAGAACCCCATCTGTTTTTTATTGTTGTCTGTGCCCCTGTTAAGGAGATTCACCTTTTTCTATTTGTTCTGTTTACTGTTATCATTGAAAGTGAAAGTAAATAAAAACCCAAATTTTGGGTTGTCCCCAGAAAAGTAATAGAGGGGAAACTAGTTCTGGTCACTTGGGAGTCTCCAAGAGATTCCCTTAATTTGCAGGGATTTCTTCTCAATTTCTGTTTGGCTATGGGAGAGGAAGTGAAGGGAATTCTCCACAATTGCACACAGATAGCGAAGAAAAAAATCTGACGGGTTATAACCCTCCCTTACTCTAGCCAAAATGGAAAGTTTTGCCTATAGTTCTACTTAGTGTGAATGGGCTACACACCAATGACGTCTTCTGATTAACTTTATGGAATTAACAAGCACATGTAGCACACATTGCCATCCTTTCAGCCAAAGCCACACTCCCAAAATGCATTTCACCCATAGCTGGGAAGGTGAAACGTGACTTTTGGTGAAAGACCACAGTGTATCCTGTATGTGCGTGTTCATTCAATTAACCAGAAGACGTCATAGATGTACGGTCAATTCTCTTTGCTAGTATGCAGGGTATACAGGCTTTTTTTTTTCTTATTTATTATCTTTTATTACATTTTATTTTATATACAAAAAAAAAAACAGCCATATATCTTATTGCAACATATACATCCACTTTAGCCCCCTACCCACCCTCCCCTCCCTGTCCAATTGAATCTTACCATCTTCTTCCCCTTCCTGTTTATCAACCCGCATCTGTAAACCTATTCCTGTAATCTATTTATCTAGTTTAACCAGCTAAATTCTCTGGCTCTACTACCAGGGTCCACCTCATTTTCAAATATTTTTCAAATGTTTTAAATTCATACCACCTACTCCATTCTTTTCTACTCCATTCTTTTCTAAGTTTATCCATTTTATCTTCCTCTATATGGTGTAACTCCTCTATCCTATTAATATAGTCAATTCTATCTATCCAGTCCCTCATTGTTGGGGGGGGGGTCCTGGGCCTGCCAAAACTTAGGAATAAAACTCTTTGCCACACTGATCAGATGGTAAAATATACTGTTTTTATATTGCTTCACTGACATCTCAGTCTTATGACAAAGACATACCCACAGATCTTTCTGAACAGATATCTCCCAAATCTCCTGTATGTATTGGATTATATCCTGCCAAAACACCTGTATTTTTTGGACAATCCCACCATACGTGGGCCATGGTATGCAGGCTTTGACACCTGACTGGGCCCAATGGCTTTGGAGTGGTGGGATGTGCTTGGATCTCACGGACAAGGTGATTAGAGTCTTTATGAGTTTTGAGTTTCGGTCTGACAGCAGACAGAATCTGGAGCAGGAGTGCATAGTAATCAATCAGCTTGTAACTTCAGCTTGTGCTGTTCTATCTATCTTTTATTTTCAAAGCTTGATTGGTTACCATGCACAACTGCTCAAGATTTTGGCTGCTCCAGTTTTGATGGGTTTCTCACGCGGAGCACTGGCATACCTCTGTACACCAGCTCAGAACTGGT